GCTGATTGTTAGTGAACAGGTGGGACTCACCTTAACAAGCACCGCACACAGGGGAAGAGATGTGTCCGCACTGCACTTCCAGGAGCTTCAATTCTCCACTGATTCTGCTGTTAGCTGTTAGTTTAGCCTCCTGCTGTAAACACTTCCGGGTATTTTAGTGCCAGCTCATCTTGAAATATGATTGGACACGGAGCCGGAAGGGCGGCGGCACGTGACCTATCGTTGCGTCACTTTATTGTGCTATAGTAATCATTTAATGAATTTATAATTATTATCTTTTTGTACCTCACGTGATATTACATCTTTTGTTGAATGAAAAATACCATGCGATAATTCCAGTAAATTCCTTTAGTAGCTTACATTGCTTTTTAACGTGATAATTAATTGCATTTCAATTAATTCACCATTTATTGTGTAAATTTGTATTTTATTTTTTGGTACACATGACCCTCATAACAACATATTGTTGGAGGTGTTTGCACATAAGCCACGAATTAATGAAATACTACGATCTGCGTGTAGTCTCTGCACATGAGATTTTAATCTCTGAAAAAAATTTAACTTAAATTTAGACCACTCTGTTTTGCAGCATGTTACATTTTATTTGTATCAGATACGATATACATATAAAATATGTAGTATACAGATTAAACGCTCATTTAATTAGTAGTTCCTTTGTCTATCCAACAGAGGGAGACACTGTCCATAAAAATCAGGCCTGCTTCAAAACAAGGACAAGAGCCTGCTCTCTGCTGTTCTATTTCCACAGGTAATTATTTACATGTGGAACTTGTATTTAAAAAAATAAATAAAAATTAAATAATATAAATGCAAACAACTATGTCTGAAGTATATCAGATTCACATTAATTGTATTGTTTGTTTTTTTTGTTTTCATTGGCCTGTGACTGGATAAAGACCTGCATGAACCGAGGGTCCCATGGCAAAAATGTTTTCTCATAATCCTTACTGATCTTTCTTTAGTCAAAATGAAAGTACTTTCATGCCATGAGGCCTAAATTACAGCTGAATTAAAAAAACTAAAAAAACTAAAAATAGGATGGAATAATTTAGAAATCATTAAAAGACAATATTACACCTTTGAAAATACTGGACTTTATTGTTTTGTTTTGGGGTTTTTAATTTTATTCTAACATGATCTTTAGGTCATCACAATGGTTTAAATGGTTGGGATATTACAGCTGCTTAACATTTTGTCATATTTCATAATGTAATAAATGTCTTCATTGGGTCTGGAGGACAGTTGGGCCAGTTTGGAACACGCATTTTTGTTTTTTGTTATTTTACTAACATTCAGCATTAATGGTGCCTTCACAGAGGTGCATATTACCCATACCAAAGGAAAAAATGGACTCTAATAAGCTATGTGGTCCCTCTCCTCTTTAACCTGGAGGACGCTGTATCCGTGATTATCAAAAGGATTTTAAAATATTGATTAGTCAGACCACAGGCCATGTTTTTAACTTCAGTCAATTAAAAGATCAGTCCCAGAAAAGGAAGGAATTTTTCTTAATTTTGTTTATATATTAGATTTTTTCACCTTTGCACTTCAGAGGGTCATTAATATGGCCCAAAAAATCACCGGACATCCTCTTCCCTCTTTGAAGGACCTGTACAAAACTCGCTGTCTCAAGAGGGCACGCAGCATTGTACGGGACTGTACACACCACTAAGTTAAGTTACGGCGTCATGTTGTGTTGTGTCATGTTGTGTTGTACGTATTGCCGACGTGGGACAGTTTTCCAATTTCATTGTACCATTGTACTATGTATGACTGTGCAATGACAATAAAGAGTTATCTTATCTTGTCTTAACAAATAATAAATAAAATAAAACAACAACAACATATAAACCTTGCTAGACATTTTTTTGTACATGTTTCTGGATATGCTGCACTAAGATTTGACGTAATTACGCAGTTTTTGTAATTTTACTAGTGGATGTGTGACTTGTTTGAGCAGCTTCGTCTTTGCCAGGTCCACATTATAAATGAAGATGTGCTCATAATAAATTCACTAATTAAATAATGCTTACATTGACTTGCTGCGCCCTCTTGTGGTACACATTGGTATTGCATGAAAGCTAGCATGGGCCTGTTTTTAATTCATATTCAGATCTATTGAAACTATACTAGACATTTGGGACATGAAATGATATTAACTGGTTGTTACATTCTGTTGATATTTTTACTTGTTTTTGGAAAGTTTGAAATTATTATTTATTTTTAAACAGGAATTTACAAAAAGTACCTCTGCTGCTGTACCAGCCAGTAGCTGTTGAGGGCAGCACACACACACACACACACACACACACACACACACAATCTCAGACTCCATAAAAACAGAAAAACAAGACCACATACACACACACTCACTCTGCTTCATAAAAATGTCAGCGCTCATAAAGACTGTTTATCTCCCTCTCTGTCTGTTTTTAGAATTTTCCACCACTCTCTCTTCTTCTTCTTCTCGCTCTGGTTTTCTTCCCCCTCCCTACTTCTACTCCTCAGCCCAGCTCAGACATCCTAAATCACACATTAAACTCTTTAAAAGGTTTCCTTCAGTCGTCGGGTGGAGCAGAAACACACAGAGGCAGCAGCATGCTTCATTGGATGATGGCTTTTTCTAAACAGCCAATTGAAACCCGACTGAAAGTGCAGCATTTTAAAAGTGGCTAAAGCGAGCGGATGAGCGATGGACAGATTAATAAGTCATTATAGTGAACACACACACAAAGGTTTGTGCTTATATCTTTGTGAGGACCTTTGCTGAACTCATGCACCATAGGCGTGCGGGGTATTGATCATTCAGCTGTCCATATCAGCCCCCTTTTACCCCTTTATAGTGAATTTTAGCAGTTTATGTTGTAACTGTGGTGTTAATCAATGAATATTATTGAAATATGGGATCTAATGGTTGTATTGATGTAAAGCAATTTGAAATGCTCCAAAAATGTCACCATATTATGTAAAAATGTAAAGGGCATAACTTTTAGATAAAGGTAAGAGTCTTGTCCTGTTTTGAACATGAAATGGAAAAATGAAAGATGGCTTCTTCTTCTTCTTCTTCTTCTTCTTCTTCTTTAATTTAAAGGTTATTAGCCTGTTTAGCATGTTGCTAAAGCAAAAGCAAAGCCTAACCTTAAACCCTGTTAGGGTTGTTACCAGGTGAACTGCACAAACTATAAATTGCAATAAAGTCTCCGGCCTGATGATGGAGATCGCTGAGAGCGCCAGTCTCCGCATGGTGCTGTGCAATTCAATGATACACATCTGCCGATCACCTGCAGCACTAGTCGTCTCCAGCTTTACCTGATCATACAGCCGTGTCAGCGGCTACATCAGGCTCACTTAGTTCTTCCTCTTGGTCTTGTTTCTTGGTATTCAGCTTGTCTTCTTTTCCAAGAAGCTATTGGTGTGCTCTCTCACAGCTCAGTTGACTTGTCTCAGCACCTGTTTGGAATTAATTGGACTTTCATTCAAAACCAGATCACTTACCTGCTTCCTGCTCACTCACCTGTTAAATTTGCAGCCCTCTCTTCTCCACTTCTGAGAGGAGCCCTGAAATGATCTTTACAGCAAAATCTCTGTGTTGTTAATAAACCTTTTAGCTCTTCCTGTGGTCTGTGTCTGCACAACCGTGGCTGCAGGAGCTGAACAGGTACTCCGGTATTTAAGTCCTGCAAGGTGCAAACCTCTTACTGTCTCATCTCAGTCAAACTATAGCAGCAACCTATCCAAACTGTTAACCCTGCATGACTGCTGACAGGATTTACTGTTTCAGATACTAATGTTGTCTAAACTTTAACAGATTTAGGACCTTGCTACTTATAGATTTTACAGAACAACACAAACACCTGTGAAAAGCTGTTTTTTGCAGACTGTAGGGGAGCTTACACCATTTTTTCTCTTTGTAACTCTCAGCATGATGCATGAAATGGAAGCAATATTAAGAAAGCAGTTGAAGATAATCTGGAACAATGTTTATATGAAAAAAAGCAGAGTGAGGTTCAGCTGAAGGGACTGAGATGTGTCCAGTTTCAGATGAGCTGAAGCCTTCAGCCTGCAGGGGGCGCTGGCAGCACTTCCCACGATGCTGGATTGTGTTTGATAAACTGACACCAGCAGACGTGAAGCAGACTCTGATGCTCTGAGGTCTTTCAGGCTTCGGCCTCCCTCTCGTCACACATCACGTCTAACTGCCGCGCATGCTTCATCGTATTCGCCATCTCATTGTTGGTTCTGTCTTTAAGTCTTCCTGCGTTCTGACAGAAATATTCTTCAGACTCATCGATCGGCCGCAACATGAAACCAGAGACGGCTGAAGTCTCCAGAGAGAGAGAGTGTTATCAGCACTGTGCAGCCCCCCTGATCCTGGCAGAGCTGAGTCGGTTCATACAGGGGGTAATGTGTCCTTCTGCTGTGTGCATGTGTGTGTGCATGAGAGAGAGAGAGAGTCATGCTGCATGGATAAAACGATTAGTGAAATATAGGCAAGAGGAGGAAGAAAAAATGGACTCTGGACAGGAGAGAAGGATGAAGGAAAAGGAAAGTAGCAAATAAGACGAGAGGGCGTGAAAGGATGAAAGGAGGAGAAGATATTCTAGAAAATGATCTGAAAGATAAAGATGGAGATAATGATGTAACCACACATGATGGCCCCACTGCTTTCTGGGCTCCACATTTTGAAGCCTCAACATTCGCCTTCTGGCCTCAGCCATGTTGGTCTGTTGGAGCCAGAGCAAAGTCCTGCTGGAAGCAAGTCTCACAGCTAGGCAGCCATCTTGGAAAAAATCCAGGCATTTATTTGGAAGCCCATAGTGAAATGAGAGGGACAAAGAAACAACTTCATTTTCAGAGGCCAGTGCTTCAAAAAATATAAAGGTTTTGCCCCAAATTATGATTTGAACACAACTTTACAACTCCAATGACGGCTCGGTCCACAGTGCTGACACGAGCGGTACCTCATCTTTGCTATCAGAGCACTGAACAGACTCCATGATCATTCATGTTACGGACACAGCGAGCCAAGTTTCAGATGCTCTTTAGGCTTTTTTAGATTCTCAGAAATCCCCCTCAGATTCCTCTGTATTGGTTTATATTATGTTCGGTTGGACTGACAGGTGAAACATACAAACATCCTGACGACAAG